GGGGGCCTGGAACTGTGGGAGGGTTCTTTCCAGAGGAAGCCTCATGGCCAGAGATGGAAGGCAAGGTAAGTGACAGCGCTGCTGGGATGAAATTCTGGGTGGAGTGTACAAATCAAGGGTTCTGAGACCCAGATCTTGAGGTCAAGGGTGACTTACAGGTGGTAGATGAGTAGCTGGCATGGCGAAGGAGGAAGGGCTGGTGCTGGTCTGCCTCAGGCTCTTCTGGCTCAGGGGGGAAGGCACAGGGGGGGCCAGGAACCATGGGGACAGTTACTGGTGGGGGTCCTGGTGAGGGTGGGAGGGCCTCCAACTCTCGAGCTTTGCGAAGCTTCTCACGTTTTCGCTGGATGGCGGCAACCCGCTCACGCACTGCACGGGCCACTGGTTGGTAATCAGCTTCGCAGACCAAGCCCAGAGCCACCTGGAATTGGGGGGAGGTTTGAGGATAATGAGTTTGGAAACCCATCCAAGATCCATCAGGATAACCTTTGGGGTCTCCAGGGTGGAAAGGAACCAACATTTATTGATTATCTACTGTGTTCATGAACTGGCAATTCTTTATGTTATCGTTGTTAAAGTATCCCAGTAATCTTCTGATGTAGGTGTTATCAGCACCATTCTTGAGATAAGTCAAGAATGGTTATACAGTTATACATCCTTATACAGTGGTTTTAAACGGGGTGAGGGGAAGGGAGGGAAATTTTATTCAAGAGACATGTGGCAGTACCTGGAGACATTTTTGGGAGCTCTGGTAGCGTAGTGCCTAAGGCATTTGACTGCTAACTGGCAGTTCAAACCCACCAGTCACTCCTCGGAAGGAAGGTTCTACTTCTGTAGTGATACTGCCTGGGAAACCCAAGGAGGGGTCACTATGAGTTGGATCTGACTTGATAGCAGTGAGTTTAGTTTTTTTGGTTTTGCAGACATTTTCAGTTGTCACTACTCTTAGGGGTGCGCTAATGATATCCAGTGAGTAGAGGCCAAGGATGCTGCTTAATATCCTACAATGTGCAGGACAGTCTCCCCAACAAAATATTACCCTGCCCAAAATGTCAGTAGTGCCAAGGTGGAGAATCCCTGTAGGAGTCTCAGGTCTAGTTTGGTCTAGGCTATGGAGATCCGTTCTACTGCCATATTTCAAACACATTATCAGGTTGATCCACCATAGATGATCCCACCCTTTCCACCAACATTTTTCTGCGTAGAATCCCATATTCCATCCCCTCCCTTCTCAGGTCTTCCTAAACCAGCCTCCAAACCTCTGCACACACCCACACCCATCTTCTCCTCCCATGAATGCCCTTCCTTGTCTACCATCTTCCACTCATCCCCCTCCTTATTAATTTCAATAATGAACTTTACTGGTTGTGTAAAGGAGGTGAGGCAGAGTGATCTGATTTGAAATCTGAATGACATGAGTTTAAACCCAGCCCTGCCACTTACTTACTGTGGAACCTTAAGTCAACTTCTCTGAGCTTTGTTTCCTCATCAATATATTGGGATAAAATTGCCCTCCAAGTAGGTTGGAAATAACAATCAAAAGCATGTGAAAACGCTTTAAACCATGTACGGAAGAGGGCTCTTTTTTCGAGCTCCTACCAGGTGCCAAGCGCTGCTGAGACAGAAAATTTTAAAAAAACACGGTCTGTACCCTCAAGCAGTTTAAGGTCTAGCGGAGGAGAAAGGCAGGGACGCATTTAAGTGTCAGACTGATGATGGTGGGTGCTGTAATGGAAGACCTGCTTAAGTGGAAAGAAGCATTTAATTTTTACTCTAGAGGGGAAAGCTTCCTGAAATTAGTGCAAAGAGAAAAAGACAAAGAGAGAAAACATGGAAGAGGAAAATAAATGCGTGAGAGGGAAGAGCATTCCAGAAAAACTGATCAGAAAAAGCAAAAGCAGGAGGGGTGGAAGGCCCAGGGCTTGTCCTGGAAAAAGGTATCGTCAACGTGTGGGGATCACTGGGTAAATGTGCAGGGTGTTAAGATTGGAAGACACTTGCAGCAGACGCCGGGAGAGGTGGATTGGGTTCCCCTCCCACCACCCTGTCGCACTGGCCCCTCTGGTAGGGGCCTACGTGCCCAGCCCCAACACAGTCCGCCCTCCTCTCACCATCTCCTGCGCCACCTCCTCGGCCGCGTCCCGGCCCAGCTGGAACAGGAACTCAATGGCCTGGTTATCCCGCGGCCGCCCCCCGCGGCGCGCGTCCTCCATGCGCAGCCAGAGTTTTAGGCCCGGCTTCTCGCCGTCGTCCTCCTCCGCCAGCTCCACGTGCACGCCGCGCTCCTCGCGGAAGAAGGCGTGGGCCAGGAGATCCTGGATAGTGAACCTGAGGATCGCGCAACGGTGAGGAGAGCCCCCTCCCCGCGGCGGCCTGAGGGAGGTGGGAAGGCGCCCCGCCCCTCAGCCCACCTCTCGTTCTTATCCGTGCGGATGCAGCCTTCAATGATTTGCTTCACCTCCGGCATCTTCACCTTGTGGAAGCTGTTCGGCTTTGTGCCCTGGGGGAGTGCAGCTGCATGAAGCCTGCAGCTCTCTGCGTCCCACTTCTCCGCTGCACAACCCCCCGCCTGCTCGAGGCAGCAGCGCTTGCCCTGGTAGAAGCACAGCTACTGGGAGATTGATTTCCAATCCCAATCCCCCAAAGTATTGGCAGTGTGACCTTGAACAAGGCTCCCGATGAGCTTGTTTTCTCCATTATCAAGCATAGGGCATAACGCTTGCCCTGTTCACCTCGCTGGGCAGCTGGAAAGATGTAAACTCTAGGGAACGCTACACATATTTTAAATGCTATACTGGAAGGGTCGTATGCACACCTAATATCCTTCAGTGTTCAGCAGGGCATCTTTGTGTCTAGCCTTTCATTAAGGGGAAAGGCGTTTCATTACAGGGAAGGGCTGATGGAGCAGAACAAGGGGCGGGAGACCTGGAATGCCCTCTCCTCCCCCTCTCACCGAAGTGACCTTGCGGTAGATTTGCGCGGCATTCTGGCACTCGGAGTACGGGTACTCCGAAGTAGCCATCTCCAGCATGCACATGCCGAACGCGTACACGTCCACGGCCTCATCGTACTTTTCCTCGTACATCTCCGGGGCCATGAACTCCGGGGTTCCTGTAGGGTCCACAGCAGGGATCAGGCTGCAGAGCCTCCCCTTCTGACCTGTCCCTCTTGGGCACATCATAGACTAGGTAGCCCGTGTCACAAGTGGCCCACCCTTCCCCACAGTGTGTGTGTGTGTGTGTGTGTGTGGAGGGGGGCGGGGCATAGCTCTTTCCCGCTTCCCCATGGTGTCCTAGCTCCTTGGGTCTCAAAGGGCTCTACGAGGCTGGGTTTCCCCAGGCTCTCGTTTGGCGCGGGGAGGGTAAGAATGGCGAGGATCGTCTACAGAAGACGCACCGATGACACTCTTGGCGAAGGAGGCACGCTTGAGCGTAGCCAGACCCAGGTCCCCAATCTTGACCGAGCCCGAAGGGCCCGTAATAAAGACATTGTCGCACTTGAGATCCCGGTGCAAGATGGGGGGAACCCGGGAGTGTAGAAAATGAAGCCCCCGCAGGATTTGACGGCTCCAGCGCTGGAGGACTCGCGGCTTCATCTCGCGGAACCGCCTCAGGTACCTGGGGGAGGGCGCATAGGCAGGGTCGCAGCGGGGACAAGTATGGGGGGGAGGGGCCCTCTCTGGCACCTCTCCCGCGCCCTACCCGTGCAGCCGCCTCCACGTCTTCTGCGACTTTTCTCCTAGCCTAGGTTCACGCCTGGCCCCAAGGAGAAACTGAGTCGAGTGTGTGGAGCTAACTAGGCTACTAACTAGATACTAACTAGGCTACTAAACCCGCAGGGAGGTTAGGTTCGCAGATAGGGCCACGGCCAAGGTGTTGTGGAGCCCGGAAGGGATGACTCAGTGCCCGGATCGCGGGGGAGTGTTTCACAGAGGAAATAACTTTTGCGTTGCATCTTGAAGGATGAGTAGGAGTTCAAGGGTGAAAGGGAGAAAGGATGGAGACTTTCCAGGCGGACAGGACACTGTGTTCAAAGGCACCAAGACAGTGATCTTCTGGACAGGGTGGGAGGATGTGCTGGAAATTCGGTTTGTCTGGAACTTAGGGTGAAAATGAGCAGACTAGCAAGTGTGGACTTTATCCTCAGGGTCGTTGGAAGGGCCTTGAACAAGTTTTAAGGAGTGAAGTGAGGTGATCGGATTTGGAATTGAGAAAGATGTCCCAGCCTTAAGGAAGACAGAACTGCCTTGAAGGGTGCAGAGTAGGGATAGGCCCTTTAGGGGGCTTCCACAGGGCTCCAGGCTAGCTAGGTGGCATTGTAGGTGGGACAGTGAAAGTCGAGGGGTGACATGTTAAGCAGACAGATATTGGGAGTTGGGGAATGCACTGTGTGTAGTGAGAGTAGTCTGGAGAGATGCCCAGGTTTTTGGTGGACTGCAGGGTGGCAGTTACCATTCACTGAGGCAGGGGCACAGGAGGGGTGAGTAGAAGATGGTGAGCCCGGTTTGCACCTGGATGTGCAGAATTTGAGGAACCTGGGAAAAGTTAGGAAGCAGTGGGGACACTTCCCAGCCCTCCCCCTGCCAGGTGCAGAGCTCACGTCTTGAGCGTGCCCGAGGTCATGAGTTCGGTGACCAGCACGATGCAAACCTGGCCCCTCAGCACTGACTTCCATGAGTCGTAGAAACGAACGATGTTGGGGTGCTGCAGCCCCTTGAGCATCTCCACCTCCTCAGAGAAACGCTGCCGCTCCGACCGAGACAGTTTCCGAGTCTGTGGGAGGGGAAGGGGGTCACCTCAGGCCCCGGAGGGGCTTCTTATCCCCATGGAGAGGGATGGGGCACATGGGGCAGGGCTGGGAGAAAGGTGAGGGTTGGAGTAGTCACATGTTGCCGTGTCGGTGGAATCGCTAGCCTGACGGGTGCAGACCCCAAGGTGCAGAACTCTAGTGCAGTCCCCATGGGTGGCTGCAAGGACACGCCCACCCTGGACCCCCACTGGACACAAGAGCCTTTATGCAGCCCAGTTCAGGAGCTCAGAGCTCAATAGCGTCTTTGTGGTTACCCGGGCGGCCGCAGGGCGGGAGGGGGCGCCTGGGGGCTGGCAGCAGGCAGGCAGCAAGCCGGCAGAGGGCCGGCAGGCGACGGGCAGGGAATTGGGGCCTGGAAGGGGGTTGGCCCCAGAAGTTGGGAGCTGCTAGATCCAGACAGGAGGTGGGAGGGCTTTGGAGGGAGGTATAGAGAAAGAGAGAAAGGATCCAGGATCAAGGCCAGGAGACTGCCCCCCCATGGCTGTTCTGCCCAGTCTCATCCCCACTCCACCCCCAGTTTGGCTGCCTCTCCTGACCTGGCCTGGAGTCCAGGGTGTGGCACTGGCAGACCCAAGGGGAGAGCCTCATGCCAGGGCCCAATGTGAGGTACCCTTCCCCCAGACTCTATTCCCCAATTCCAAGCAGTGCCCAGAATTGATTGGGTTCTTCCCACCCTTAGGCTGTATGGGAGCCAAGGAAGGAAAGTCTTACAGACCAACATTTCCCTAAAGCCCATGAGGCTTAGCACCTTTGGGTCTGTGAAGGGAAAGCCCAGGTAAGCAGTGGGATGAGGAGCAGGACTGGACTCAGGCCAGGGCTAGGGCTCCTTGTCCCAGCCCTCCAAAGTGTGATTGCACCAGAGGGGGTCTGAGAGGGACCCATCTTGCCACAATTCCCCTAAGTCTTCAAGAAGTGGAGCGCACCCTGTCCTCTCACCTCCTGGCCTCTGGATTTGTAAAGGCCTGGGGGAGTGAGCAGAAGACTAGGGTCACACTGAGGGTCTCAGGAGTTAGGGGAAAAGGGGTGGGGGTAGATAGTGGGTTCCACTGCAGGAAATTGGTGGGGTCAGGTCCTCAGAGAGGAACTGGCTTCCCCACACAATTTCCCATTCTTTTTTTCTCATCTCTCAGGGTTGAGTATGGACACTTTAAAGGTGGAATGCCCCTGCCACTGCACACCACTTGCCTCAATTTCTCCTTCTGCAGCCCAGAGTCAGTCAGGCTCTGGGTCATCAGAGCAAGGGGACAGGGGTGTCTGGACATTTAACTGGAAAAATATAGCCCTCCCTTGCTGCTGTCCCTCAGGGTCTCCCATCCCCAGACACCAACGGATCCCATCCCGAGGTGCACCGAGGGGGCGCCCAGCCGCACCTGCAGCTCACACCAGGCCACCTCCACGGTGGTGTCCGTGTCCAGCCCTCGATACACCGTCTTGAAAGAGCCACGACCTATCTCGATGTCAAACTTGAGGTATCGGCCATCAGGGGACGTCGCCACAGCCTGTGTCTCCGTGTCCTCCTTCTCTTCCAGCTCCCGCCGCCGCTCTCGGGCTGCGGCTTCGGGGATCCTCGCCGGCTCCCGAGACCCCGGGACTCCTGCGGAGCCCGAGAGTTCGGAATGGGCAGAGTCTGTAGCTTTTACCAGGGCTCCCCCAGTCCACGTGCCCTCGGGGGGCTTTTCGGAGCTAGGCGGTGGGCTTCTCGCGGGGCAGGGACCAGCAGAGTCTGGAGGGTCTGGGGGCTCCGGAACGGGTGAGGCGGGCTGGGACCAAGAGCTCAGCAGCCCCAAGTCGACCGAGCTGCGGCGGCTGAGACGGGAAGAGCGCGGCCGGGGCTCAGTCTTCCCGGAGAAGCGGCGCGCCCGGCGAGGAGGGGGCCCGAGGCGGGGCGGCCCCGCGGCGGCGAGAGGTGGCGGGGGCCGCAGGGCCAGGTCGGCCTCGGTCTGGGACATAGGGACCGCGGTCTCTGGGGCTGGCGGGGCCAGCATGGAAAAGGGCCGGTCGCCGCAGGGCGGCAGGCGAGAAGGCGGCTAGACAGGCGGACTGGGTGAGTGCGCAGCGCTCCGGCTAAGCTGTTGGGGCCCCAGTGCTCTGCTGGCCTGCCCCCAGACCCCGCCCCGGCCCCGCCCCCGGCCTCACCTCCCGCTGGTCCGCCCCCTCGGAGCTCCGAGCCTCCAGCCCTCCCGCCCTGGCTGGGGAAGGGCGGTTTGGCTGCATTCGCACAGCCCTTCACCTCAGCCGATGCCCCGCCCTGGCCTCTTCCCCGCCTCTCCCGGGCCTCCCCGCGCGCAGCGTTCAGTCTCCTTCGGAGGCGACCTCTGGGTGAGAGGGAGTGGTGGCCTCCCGCACTCAGAGTGCGCAAAACTGTTTGTGCGTTGGAAGGCAGGACGCTTGGGACAGGGAGAAAAAACGTGACCGCGGTTGCCTGGCCCTGGTGGTGGGGGGGGGCGTTTAGGGGGAGGCTACTACCCGCCTGTACATCCCAGATAAAGCAGCACCACTCCTTCCTAATCGTCTTGAGGAGCCCTAGGCCGACCACACAGAGGTCAGTGGAGGTGGTTTTCTCCGACGCCACTGACCTCCAGGCTGCACGAGAATGGGTGTGCATCTCTGGACATGCCCCACCCCTAACCCCAGAGCAGAATCACCCATCCTTTTCAAACCGCCCCCCTCCACCTTGGCCACAGGCTGGCACTGGCCAAAGTGGCTGTTTTTGCTCTGTGGGCTCTCCTTCCTCCCCCTCTGTTTGCCAAAGACTCCAATAAACCAAAGTCCACATCCGGTTTAGCCCCTCAGCTCCCCTAGACCACAACTACCGCATGGAGACCAGATGGGTGGAGGAGAGGCTTCAGGATAGTTCAGGACTTCCAAGGGAGGCAACGGGGAGTCATTAAGTGACTTCAATTCCAGAACAGAAAGCCGTCTGTCCCCGAGCTGTGTTCCATCAGCACTCCCCCACACAGCCCACCAAACAGATGTGAACCACAGGCTCACTGGAGCCCGTGGGCTCTGGCGGACCCTTTTGCCAAGGTCATAGGCCTTCTCTCCTCTCCCCCTGTCCAGGCTTCACAGCCCTCCCCGTCCCCAATCCCGTAATAACTTGGAGGCAGGCAGCGGGAATTGAGATTTTTAATATCATAAACCAGTGTCCAGCCTGCCTCTCATTGCCAGGCCCCTTCTTGGGCCTCCTATCTTGATATTGCCTGGAAGGCTGCCTGCAGCCCCGGCTTCCCCCACTCCCTAGGAAGGATCCAGCACCAGCCTGAAAGGGGAGGCAACAGCAGCTGAGGGAGTGGAAGAGGGAGGAGACAGAAGCTTGTGCAGGCGCGTGTATGTGTGTGAACACATGTCAAGTGAGGTTTACAGACCCTGGCTCAGGGATAGTCTAGGATGGGAGAGGAGGTAGGGCAAGAAGCAGCACATCTTTGCTCCCTGGTGCCTCAGCTTCATCCTATCCCAGGGACAGATGTATAGGGTTAATGGGAAATCCATCCCTGCATCCCAGCCTTCAGGACTGGAGCCCTTTTGAGTCTGGAGTCGTCACAGACCCAGTCTGTGGGGACACTGGGTCTGTCTCCTTTTGAAAGCCCTGGAAGGGTGGGAGGTAAGAAGCAAAAGGAGGCAGGTCTCTGCTAAAAGAACTTGACACCTCGGCCATCGCTGACGGTGATGATCTCAGCCTTGTGCTCCTGCTGGAGGGCCTGCAGGGCCCGCAATAGAGTTGTCTCGTCCAGCCCATGGAATTCTAGACAGGGAGAGATGGGGCTGTCAGGGACACTCAGCCCCTCGGGGGCCCAAGGTCTCTGAAAAGAGCAGTCAAGCTAGAATCTGAGATTTCCAGAGGGCAGGTATACGTGTGCCATCTGTACTTCTGCAGTCACCACTCACAACTCCTGGGCACTCTCTTAATGAGGGCTGGAAGAAAGCCCAAGTCAGCATGAAATGAGCGCTCACACTTATTTCCCCCTCCCTGGTCTCCCCAGACCTTTGCCATCAGTGTCTGATGCACAAGGTGACATCTGCTTGCAGGCCACAAAGGGGGAGGCAGGGCTGACAATCAGGCCTAGGGAAAATCAAGGCACTTGTCATTGGACATGGAACCTAGTCGCATATCTAGACCCATTAGGAGGACCTGTTCTAACACAAAGAATAGCCAGTGCCCCTGGTCAGAAGACTGCTAAGGTCCAGCTGAGTGCCTGGAGATATGGCAAGCTACTGCAGGGAGGTGTGAGAGGCAGGAGGCAAGCCCCAGCAGGCTTGCACACCTCACCCCCTGTGGGGCCCAGCTCTGCAATCAGGGAGCTTACTTTCTGTGAGAGCCTCCAGCTTTGCCCAGCCTGAGTGGTGGGCTGGGCGAGGCTGCAGAGCTGAAGTCATGGGGTGATGATGGTGGGAGTAGCAAGCTGAGGCCTGCAGGGCAAGGGGGAATAGCCAAGAGCTGTAAACTCTGCTGGGGCAGCCAGGGGAGGTGCCCCTGTTACCCCAGCTACTATTAGAACTTTTCATGATCCTGGGGATCAGAATATGAAGTCAAAGAGAAAAGAGCTAAGAGAGTGTTTACACTATGCAAAAATCAAACAGCATACTAATCCTTGCCTGGCCAGTATTTAAATGGGCTGGGGGTGTTGGTCCAATCCCTTCAGCTGACTCTCACAAATCGTGAGCCCTCTGTAAGAATAAAGGGTGAAAGAAAGCCTGAGTCAGCAAGGAGAGAGATTTCAGGCTTAATCCCCCCCTTGCAGTTCCTTATTTGGCATCTGTACCAGGAGTTAACTTTTCATGTGTCATCGATACCCATAACTATCTTATAGTATGGACTCCATCCCCAAAAAAGTACACATACATCCACACAAACAAAAATAATTTTTTTTTCTCTGTGAATTCAGCTAGTTTGTGGACTCCTTGAATGTGAGTTAAGAACCTATAGTACTTGGAATTCAAAGGCAGAGAAATGGGAAGTCTGAATGCCAATTAAACCAACAGCACAAAAAGGATTCAGGTGACAAAAATGAAGAGGGGAAAAGGAAGGCATTACCCTCATCCTCTGTGTCTTCCCCATTGGTCAGCTCATACAAGGTGAACACCGAGTTGTTTTGGCCACTTTTTGAAACCTGTGGACACAGAAAATGGGGACTGAATAGGGGCCAGAAACCTTCTGGAAGAAGGTAACCTCACCAGCTCCACCTCTCTGATCTAGGAATGGTACCTATCCCCAAACCAGGGCTCACTGTTGCCTCTGCAGAGTAGCCTAAAAGCCACAAGCCCTACAGGTGCTATATTTATATGTGTACACACACATTCAGAACCACTAAACCACAGGCCTTCACGTGTCTGAGGAGTGACCTCTTGCTGTGGTTGTTTTCTTGATCAGGAACGGCGGCGGTGTGTTTTTATTATGTTTGGGTTGTTGATGCTTCTTCCCCTCCTCCCTCCTTTTGGAATGTTTGGGGCTTGTGGTGGCTGGGAATTTAGGGGAGAAAGCAATCTGCCCCACACCCACAATGGTTCAGAATGGCTCATTCATGTTGTGGACAGTCGCATAAGGATGCAGTGGGGGAGGGCCCCAGAGCTTTTCTTTTTTTTCTTCCCTTCCCCATTTATCTCCTGCGGCCAGAGACTCCTGCCAACAATAGCAGCCGTGGTTCCCAGTACTGCATTCTCTAAACATGGCCTCAAGTAGCCCCTGGCCTGCTACAGGCAAAGAAAGGGAAGTTCTGTGCAGCCAGGGAAATTGAGTCACTGAAAAAAAGAGGCTTGCCTGGAAGGCCTACACCTCTTCTTCCTGCCTCCTGCCTACTTTGGTCAGTCTGCCTCTGGGAAAACCAGGAATCTGCCAGGCACATTTAGAATTCTCTTTTGCCATGGGCCACTGCTCACTAGCAGGATGGTCTCACCCACTGATAGATGAGCTTCCCCCATTCTTCTGGCCTCCGCCACATGATCAGGAAGCTAGATTTGTTCTTATCCAACCACTCAAGGTTCCCTGTAAAAGATACTTATAAAAGCATCATGTACTAAGAAGGGACAAAGGGGAATACCAACATGGGACAGAGAGGAAGAGACTCAGCTTTCAGAGGTTCAATATCTGACTATCACTATCTGCTAGGAGTGCTGGTGGAGTCCTGAGTAAGGCATCTGGCTGCTAACCAGAATGTTGGAGGTTCAAACCCACCAGCTGCTCCATGGGAGCAAATATACATCCATAGATTTACAGCCTTAGAAACTCAATGGGGGTCAAGGAGTCTGAATCGACTCCACAGCAGTGGGATTATTACCTGCAAGGCAACCATTCTCCTCTTTTCTTCAGGTCGTGGGGCACAGATGGAAATTTTAATTTTGTTATATAAATGGGGGAAAAGGACCTGGGAATTGGACCATATACTGTACAGAACACTCTGGGCTCCAAGCCAGGGGAGAGAAAAAAATTGTTCAGGGTAAAGACTTGTCCTAATCTGCCCTCAGAAAAACTCAGCTAGGAGAATACATAAGGAATCTGGGGAACTGAACCCACCTTTCTTCCTCAGTTCCTCTAACACGATCTGAATTGATTCCACTGGGAGCTTCCCTGGTTTAATGTTAAGTGAATGATTTTTAAAAAAACCTAAACTCACTGACATGGAGTCGATTCGACTCATAGAGACCCCTCCTTGGGTTTCCAAGGCAGTATCACTATAGAAGTAGACTGCCCAATCTTCTTGATATAAAAATTCTCAGAACCAGTCCCACGTTGAAAAACTTGTCTCCTCCTCCCTCTCACACACATATACATGCAATTCCCCAACAGGATATAAATTGGCTTTTTCTGGATATTGGGGGAGGAGGAGAAAAAGAAACTTCCGATTAAAAGGAAAGGCTTTGGAAAATAAAAATTGCTACCATTCCTTATCCTCTGTCCTCTCCCCTACCTTCAACCCTTTTTCCACAGATATTTTAGAGATCAACCAGGCAGCAAAAATAAATGACCCTTACTTCCTGGCTGGGGAATGGAGTGGATGGAGAAAGTTAGTAAAGGTACTAAGAGGTCTGTACCTCAAAAAGGAGAGAAAGGGTCATGCAAATAGCCAGAAGAGCTCCGGTGGAGAAGGTCGGGACTCGGTTTCCAAGGCATAGATCATAAGACCCGAATGACACCGGGGCATTCACACTGCCAAGGACAAGAGGTGGACCCTAAGATTCCCTACTGCATTTAGGGGATAAAATGGATGTTAGCTACATATGCTCGCTCTTTCCCGAGTCCAGTTTGGGTAGGGATCTGCCCGGGTGAAGAGCAGGGGTTGAAGTCTGAGCTTGTAGGAAAGTGTGTGGAAGTGCATGTGTGTGGGCCGTGGGAGAGCCTGAGGGGAGGATACGCTGTAGCTTGACGTTGTTGAAGAGCGGGCTCTCCTGAGCTTCCATCACCGTCATACTGGACTGTTTGTGCAGGCGGCAGAAAGACAGGACCAGCGAGCACCAGGCGGCCAGTTGCTTCTGCCGAGTGTCCACGTTCGGCTGTAACCTGCCGGGTGAAGGGTGAGGCGCAGAATTAGAGGGCTTGAGGAAGTGAGAGGGAGCAACTGTCCGGGGTGTGTTCGGGGAAGGAAGTGAGGGGCTCAGGGTGGTGGCGACCGGGTCCTTTCAACCCCTTCCCATGTGAAGCAGCAGGGCTAAGCCCAGGGTAGGGAAGGGAGGCACAGCGGGGCTTCTCGGGGTCTGAGCCTCACGTAAAGAAGGGCGGGAAGCGATACTGCCACGGCCACTCGAAACTCATCGCCATCGTAGTAGCCCAGGGAACCCGGAACCTCCCGGCAAGGACTTCCTGTCTCCGCTTCGGCACATCCGGGCAGAAAGCACAGCACAAAGGTTCCGATAGTCTCTCAGAGGAGGGGCGGCCCGATGGAGGGGCCCCTCCTCTTCAGCCTGACCTTGCTATTATCTTAAAATTTTTTAATTTTTATACTAGTGAAGTCGACCAAACTTGGGTCCTACTTCAGTAGGAACGTCCCTTAGAAGTCTTCTGGTTCAACCCAAGAGAAGGGCAGTGAGTTCGCCAAGGTTCACAGTTTGGTAGACTTGCAGGAAGAACCTAGGTGTCCAAACCACAGCCTAGGGTTTTTTCCACGATGACAGGCTTTTTAAAGTATTAACATTGGTATCAATTGACATTTAATTTAAACGCCTCGTAATTCCTCAATCCCAATTCCTGTGTCCCTTTGCTCCATTATTTCTCCCACAGCACCCATGAGAGCATACCTTGCAGCTTGCATAGCTAGAAGTGGCTCTGCTTCCATCATTGACCACACCTCTGTATCTCCTGCCTCTCCCAGACCTCATCATCCTAATCTCAAATACTAGGACTCTTTTTGGTCCTATTGTACTCTTTACTCAGACTACTCAGTTCTCTCCTTGCCTGCCTTGTCTGTCCCCAAACCAGGGCTGTTGCTACCTGCCCTTTTTAAAACTCCTGAATTGCAGAGTTGACTGAAAAAAAAAGTCACCAGAAGTTGTTGGCTGAGCCCCAGATTCTCTAATTTCACAGCTGAGTTCCCAATGCAGCCCATACACCACCCACAGCAATTGAGTGGATTCTGAGTCATAGTAACCCCCGTTGGGTTTCCGAGGCGGGAAGTCTTTACTGAAATAGATTACCCAGTCTTCTTTCTGCAAAGTGGCTGGTGGGTTTGAACCAAATGCCTTAGGCACTACGCTACCAGAGCTCCTTCAATGCAGCCTAGTATCCCTTTGTCTTTTATTGACTCCCTGTCACATACTTCAAGGAGTTCTGGTAGCATAGTGCCTAAGGCATTCGACTGCTAACCAGAAGGTTGACTGGGTTCAAACCCACCAGCCACTTTGTGGAAGGAAGACTGGGCAATCTACTTCCATACAGATTTACTGCCTTGGAAACCCAATGAGGGTCGCTATGGGTCAGAATCAATTCAAAGGCAGTGAGTTTTGGGGTTTTTTTGGTCACATACTTCAGATAGCTGTTCAAATTTTCCAAGCTCATCAAGCTACCCCCCTTATCCCTATTTCTCCCCTCTCTACAAAACACTTCTCTCCCATTTACAATTGAGGCCATGCCTGTGAACCCCTTAATCTTTCGCTACCTATTGCCACTCTTAACTCATTTTTCAAAAATGCCTCTCCACTCTTACTCCTTCTTTCCTCCAGACTCCAAGAGAAAGTATCCCTCTTCCTTTTCAAGGTCAACGTTTTGGCATATCTTCTTTTTTTTTGGGGGGGGGGGTTAAAGAGAAGTTTTTATTCTGCGTGAGAGGTTTACGGGTCCCCGAGAGGGGCCAGAGAAGTCACTTAGCATATCTTCTTTATAATTTTTTCTAAAAATAGTATTTTATTATTTTTAAGTGAGGTTCACACAGAAGTTTAGGTCCCCATTCAACAATGTCTACACAAATTGTTCCATTACATTAATTACATTCATCACATAGGTGAACGTTTTCATTATTATTGTTTTGGTTGTTCTGTTTTCTGGCATATTTTCTTGAGCCTCTCCTTTCTAACTTCCTCCAGAACTTCTCTATCATCTTCCCTCTCTCTCCCCTGGCACCATTCCTCCCGTGTACAAACATGCTCAGGTCCTCCCTATTTTAAAATAGGTTCCGTTTTCTTGACCCTGCCACCCTCTCAACTTCCTGTCTTATCTCTATTCTTTCCACCATCCAAGTCTATCCTTCACTGTACAAGTGCCCAACAAGTACTTGTTGAATGACTGAATGAACCATTCAATTGATAATACTTTCTCAAAGACCAGCTCCTTTGCCTCCATGGCATTGCTTTATCCTTTTCCTGCTACTTCTGGGATCCTTCTATTTCCTTTCCTCCCTCATTCATTAAGTGTGTTTCCTAACCTCAGTCCTTTTATTCAATACACCATCTCCACATGGTATTCCAAAGCTTTCTTTCCAGCTCCAGTTTCTTTTCTTGCCAGACCCTATTTCTAAGTTTCTGCATATTGAAAGCATTTGAATGTTTCATTGTTAACTCATATTCTGCCTCCTTCACTTTAGGCCAGTTCCTCATCCTAATGGCCCTTTTCTATTATTACTGACTTCATTCTCCTAGTAATTCAAGTTCAAAGCCTAAGTCAACTTTCACCACCCCAGCACCACCACCTTGCTCCATCACCCTCTCATATCCAAGTCCTGCTGATTCACCTCTTCCTGATTCACTTCTCTCTCCTGATTTTTAATTCTTTTTTATTTTCCCATTCACCACTCCTCTGGCTCATGTCTCCATTTTCTCAAGCCTGGATTATTGCAGTAATTTCCTAATTCATCTCCTTTACTACTCTCGTTTCTAGAATACTATACTCCATCTAAGGCCTAGCTCACTCCGCACTCACCCTCCTGGGATCACATCTCCTGTGATCTCCCAGGTATACATGACCTTTACACTTTGGATCACATTTAGTTTGTATCTTTTAGATGACTCTCATCATGTACACCATTGTTTTTGTTTATTTGTGCAACATGTCAGCTCCCCTACTAGATGAAAGCTATTGATGACAGGCCTTATCTAGTATATCTTTCCCACAAAATATACCACATAGTGTGTTGTACTAGCAGGACCCTTGATGTATATTAATGATATGCATAAAGGCAAAAATGTGCCAAGAAGAGGGTAGATAGGTCCTTGAGGAAGAGAGATATGTTCATGGAACTACAACAAAGATTTACCATGGGAGATAATTTGAAATGTCTTAGGGAATGAGTGTGTCTCTAGAGACACATGTGTCCTGAGACAAGTGTGTCTCAGAGAATGAACTCCAGAAAGCATACAGGCATAAATGTATGAAATCGACAGGCATTTTCTAGGAAATAGACACACATGTACTCAGAAAAGCAGAGATTTCAACAAGGAAGAAAGGAGAGTCACTAAAAAAGGTCAAGGTGTCACAAGGAATAAACAGGTGTCTCTATGGAAACAAAGCTGTCTTCTGAATGTTTTCAATGACCTGGCAGATATGTGCCAGGGAGGGCTAGAGGCAAATTGGTGAAATCTGGGCCTTACTACCCCAGAAGCATGTAACTTATGGCAACCCCACGTTGTCAGAGTAAAGCTGTGTTCTACAGAGTTTTCAGCAACTGACTTTTTTTCCTCCTGGTGGACTCAAACCTCCAGCCTTCTGGTTAGCAGCAGAACGTTTTACTTGTTTGCGTTACCCAGGGACTCCACATGTTGTTGCTGCTGTTATGTGCCATCAAGTCGACTCAAACTCATAGCGACCCTGTAAGACTGAGTAGTAGAACTGCCTCATAGGGGTTTCAAAGGCTGTAATCTTTATGGGAGAAGATTGCTCCATCTTTTCTCCCCTGGAGTGGCTGATGGATTCCAACCACAGACCTGTTTTAGCAGCTTCAGCGTTGTACACCAGGGCTCCTTGGGCTCCTTGGACTCCTTATTTGTTGTTGCTAGGTGTCATCGCTTCTGACTCCTAGTGACAACAGGATGAAACACCGCCTGGTCCTGTGCCATCCTCACAACCGTATAAGGGTATCCATGCACAGAAATTGTCTTTAGGGAGTACAGATGTATCTCAGGAAGCTGATAGAAGGGTGTGTGTGTGACAGGCCTCTGACCCCAGAGTCCAGTGTTCCTCAGCTTTGAGCTTCTTCCAGATGACATCCATCTCCTGGTTGTTGGCTTTAGTGGACACCAGGGGGCAGTGTGCGGTCAGGCTGTAGGCCACACCTTGGGTCCAGGACAATGTAGGATGAGGGCCAGGGCTCTAGTGGAGGAATCTAGGTTGGACCTAGGAGAAAAAGCCTCTGCCTTCAATCCTAAAGTCTTTAGGAATGGACTCTTGTTCGTCAGGTCAAGGTTCCTATTTGCAGACCCAGGAGTAAACTGAGTCATGAAGAAGGGCCGAAGTCAGAGCTCCTGGGTAGCCCCGCATTCCTTCTCACAGGAATCACAGTGGAGAGATTCTGCCTTTGCCCCTCCCCCCACACCTCCCCCAGTGCAGGCCCCAGCTGCTGTCCAGACCGGAAGGGAGTCTCTTCCTGCACATTTCCTGGAGCTGGGTTTGGATAGGGGCAGGAAAGGCCCCACCCTGGGAGGAAGGAGTGTACGGGTGTGGCCTTCAGGTGGGAGGGGACAGTGGGGGGGCAGGTGAAAAGAGCAGTGGGGCCATTCAGATTCTTCTAGCTCAGCTGCCCAGAGCTAAGAGCCTTGTCCAAGTGAGGAACTCTGGGAAGGACACAGCCCCCACTGGGATGGGGAGGGGGACAGTGTACCAAAAAAAAACAAACAAACCAAACTCACTGCCATTGAGTTGATTCGACTCATAGCGACCCCTCCTTGGGTTTCCAAGGTGGTATCCCTACGGAAGTAGATTGCCCAATCTTCCTTCCAAGGAGTGGCTGGTGGGTTTGAACTGCCAGCCTTCTGGTTAGCAGTCAAATGCCTTAGGCACTACTCTACCAGTGCTCCTCTAGTTAATGTGCTTTATGGCTAACTGAAAGGT